CGGTCAGAAAGCTGAACCGGTGTAGGATCGGGATCTCTAACAGCACTCTCTCGGCTGGCCAGCAGCAAAACCTCAGTGTGGCCACCTTGTTGTTGGGGTTTTTACAGTCTTTAACATCTTTGCTCCGTGACGCTTCAGAAATGCAGCGGTCCGGCTTCGCAGGGGGTGCTGGCAGCCAGCAGCGGATGGAGCGTGTCTCCGCTGACTTGTCGCAGTGCAAATTCGGCGGCACCGAGGGAAATTCCCCGGGAGATCTGCGCCCTGGGGCAACACGGTCCCCTGGCCAGCGAGGGACGCTCGGCAGGAAGGAATGAGTAGTGAGATGTTTCTCTCGCATCTTGCCCCAAGCAAAGTGTTTCAAAAGTCAGGTGAGTGAGTGTGTGCTCGTGACTCTGCCTTTCTAGATAACCGCGGCGTATAACAACACCCCGGAGAGGTATGTGCAGGGGGATGACAGAAACTTTCCTATGCACGGCTCACTCGGTCTAAGGTGCTCTCTCCCTCCCTCCCCCGGCTCTCCAGCAGAGTCCAGATACCTGGAGCCTCCTGTCTCCGGCACCTACCTGTGCGGGACAGGCTGGCCGGGGAGCTGCCACCACCCGGCCGGCGGGGAGGGCCAGCGCTGCCTGTCGCTGCTCCCCATGGCATCAGCCGGCCGCCCCTCTGCCCCGAGCGCCCTGCGCGGCTCCGCGGGGCGAGGCGGTTCCCCCGGGCCGGAGCCCTGCCCGCCGCACCTGCCCGGCCGAGCGCCCGCAGCCGGCGCGGCTGCCCCGGCTCATCCCGTCCCTGCCGCCCGCAGCTCCGCGGAGCCGCAGCCCCGCTGCCCGCGCCTCGGACCGTGCTCCGGAGCGCAGAGCGAGAGGCTTGGGGAGGAAACACAGGGAGGAAGAGATGGGAAAATAAAATGGTCTAGAACGGGACCGTATCATGCCCGGAGCTGCACGACTGGCTGGATTTTAGAGACCTCATGAGGCAGCTCAAGCTCGTGCGAGTTCAAGCATTTCCTTGATTAGCAGAAGTTGAAACTGAACCTAACTTTTTCCGAATGAGAAGGCAGGATTTTATGTGATAAGCATTGCTTTGACTCAAATTGAGTCTCCCATTCCAGTAAAAAAAAAAAAAAAAAAAAAAATTCTCACGTTTCCTCAAATGCTGGAAAATCCCTCATTAAAATCTTTGGCTTAAACGGGAAGTGTATTTTGTATACCCTGAGCCAAACAATGCAGAAAAAAATTCTATCTCGATTTAGGGATAGTAATAACAGTAGTAACACAACTCTCACGTTTCTTCCATACTGACTGTAACTATCCTCTCAGTGATACAAAATTACTTCATGCAAATTCATGAGGTGGCAAACTCTGACACATAAATGATCAGTTTGTTCATTATGTGATTTGTGAAAGGGCGTCAGCAGGTAAAGCTGTTTCAAATCTACCACAAAACATCATGTTCTTTGTTCAGAGGCTCATCTTGTTCTTTCTATGAACTTGCATTCTCATGCAGTTTGGAAATGAGCAATAGTCACTGAATTGGTACTGTGCTGTAACAGTGACGAATTTTTAAAAAATTATGCCACAAATAGTTATTTCCTAAAAAAAAAAAAAAAACCAACCAGTTCCACAGAATGTTCCATAGCAATATCATTCACAAGCTGTGAGTCAGGCAGTGCCAAGCAGTTCAGCAAGAGCAGTGTGTGATGTGAAGTGCAGGGTCTCCTGGATGCTGCTCCATCCATGGTGGGAAGTTGGCCTGGAGGAGCAGCCAGCTCCTGTTTACTGCTTATCTGGGTGTACCATTCAACCTCTTGGTGTTCCCATGCAGAAGACCTTACAACAAGTATCTGCTCTGGCAGGGATGTGGTGAAGATGAATTACTGTTTATAGAGCATTTTATTCAGGCTGAGATTTATTTGAAAAGAAAAGGTCTAAAATCTGTGGGTAGCAATGGGGAATCAGTGTGAGGCAAATATTCTGTGCTGATTATGGAAGAAAACTGTTGTTTGAAGCCAGTGGAAGTGCCTTTGCATGTTTCACTTTGTTTAAACAAATTGTTCTGAATTCATATGCCATGAGCATGAATAGACTTAATTGTATTTCAGGCTCTGTGAAATCAGCAGAAAGATAATACTAACAGAAGAATGGCACCCCCTGAAGGATCTAAAACCTCAATCAAGCTCCACACAGAAAAACCTTACTGTTAGTGCCTGCACCCAGCCAGTTCTCTCTGTGCCAAGAGCACAGTGACATTTTGGTAGTCCTGCTGGAGGTGCTTTGGTGTACACCAAAGAGAGCCTCCCGAGTGAGTGGGGGATATCTATTAGTAGGGGAAATCTGGTCAGGGTCATGGCTACTGCCCTGTTCTGGCATGGGTTGGCAGAGTCTGAATTCCCTGTTTCCTGAAGGAGGCGTGAAGTGTAGAAGGTATTGTGAACATTCACACCTTGTTGTTGGCAAGGGCACAATGTGAGTGTGGCAACTTGGTCCCTTGAGCGCTTTCAGGCTCTTGGAGAGGCTGCAGCCTTGCAATTCTTCCCCTGGGGTAAGTACGTGACTAGGGGCTTGTGGAGACCTGTGCCTCGGTGTCCTCTGTGAGCCCCTGCTTCTCCTGTGAGGAGCTTGGGTACCCTGCTGCAAGTGAGGCAATTCAGGTTGGGTGGTCTGGATGAGCATTCAGTTTCACTTTTCATTGGAATTTAGGTGAGCAAACACTGTGTCTGCTCCACTTATTCATTTGTCGTATAAGAACATAAGATTGCTCTATTCTTAAGGGAAGTTGCCCAGAGAAGCTGTGGATGCCACATCCCTGGAAGTGTTTGTGGTGTGGTTGGATGGGTCTGAGCAACCTGGTCTAGTGGCATGTGTCCCTGCCTGTAGCAAGGGGGTTGGAACAGGATGATCTTTAAGATCCCTTCTGACCCAAAACCTTCTGTGTTTCTGTGAAATAAATAAGCTCAACTACACTTCCTATTTCTTATTTAAGATGTGTCACTTCTTATAAACTTTATAAACTTTGGCTGTACTGATCTAGAAGGCAAAAGGAGCAAGGCTGTAAAGTGAACACTAAATAAACATCTTGCTCTTGAACATTTATTTATTGCTCTTGAGCATTTATTAATGCTCTGGGAAAGGTGTGAGTGATTCTCTCCTACTAGAGGTGCTGTGATAAAAGAGCAGTGAGATTTTCCTATTGAGATTTGTTATTGCATATTGAATCTTTTTATGAGTGCAGATATGATAACTCTAAGGACCCATTTCAGCTCCAAATTAGGTAATTTCTTAGTGTCTTTAAAGTTTCCCTCCAGGTTTAGCTGTACAGAACATTCTCCTTTGCTTCTGTGAACTGTTACTCTGTCCTGCAACCAAAATGCCTATGCATAACTTACCAAAGTCCTGCATGACTTAACCTAACTCCTACCTAGAAGTGACTGACCCCATAGAGTGCATCTCTTTCTCAAAAAGTATGGTCAATCTTTTTGATGTATATATGACACATTTTTCTTTACTCCTAAACAAGGAAATGTATTAGGATTGGATCCTTACACATGTCATTTGCTTCAAAACAGCTAAATCATGAAGCTGATGACTTCGAGGAGATGTCAACCTCTGCCCTCCACTGAGAAGGCACAAGCGGGAACACTGCTTGAAGCTTCCTGACCAATTTGCATCTGGCTTATCAGCAAGACACTGCATCACTATGTTCCAGCTAAGAGGTGTAAGAACGGCATGTTTGAAACAGAAATGTCTCTGAGACCACTTCTGACTGTCTGCTGGGTCCCTCGTCAGGGTGGATCGTCAGGAGCAAATCCAGTTTGCTGCACTTCCACACCCAGCCCGGCACCTACGACTGCTCCTCGCTGGAATGCCACCCACGTCCTCCGCGCTGGTTCTTCTCTCTGTGCTGTCAAACGGGACGTACATAGAAGCTTATCAGAGTGGTTTTTGCAGGCTCCGCCAGCTACCCAAGCGCTGTACTGTCTGCTTCTTTATCCTCAGCATCTCCGCGACTGCTGGCAAAGTCCACCGAGCTTTCGAGGGCCACGGTCCAGAAGGTGCCTACCTCATCTGCACGTTATAAACAGCACCACGGCAGCTCCCGGCGCGGCTCGCTGAGTGCCCCAGCGGCCACCGCCCGCGCCCGGGCCAGCACGTCCGGGGCCACGCGGGTCACGCCGAGGCACCGCCGGCCAGTGCCCTGCCAGGCTCGGCCCCGGCGCCGCCAGCCGCGGGGAGCAGCAGGGCCGGGCCGGGCCGGGCAGCACAGCCCGCTCCGGGCCGTGGGTGCTGCTGTGAGGGGGCCGGGGCCGAGACCCCCGCGCCGACCCTCGGCACCGCCACAGAGCCCAGCGGGGCCGCGGCACGGCTCCCCCCGCGGCGGCACGTCCCGAAAACCCCGGACAAAACGTGTCCGGGACACATTCGGGACGGGCAATCCCCGATTGCCCAGGCCGGGCTGGCGGGGCCGCCGTTATCTCGCTGCCGGCTTCCATTTCCGCGGAGCCTCGGTGAGGGCGATGCCCGGCCCCGGCAGCTTCAGGCAGCAGCGGCGAGGTGCAGCCCCGCTCAAACACTTGGGTCTCCCCGGGCACGCAGAGTGTTCCGAGCCGCCGCCAGTGTCTTTTGTAAGGGGAACGGGCTCCGGACCCGCTGCCCCCCGGGCGGCCACCGCACTGGGGGAGGCTGCCGGGAGACAAAGCCCCGCTCGGGCGGGGCGCGAACCTCCCCCGCCGGACCCTCCCCGCCCGCGGGGGGCTGCGAAGGGAGGCCGCGGCGCTGGCAGCGGCGTCCCGGCACGGCGGCCGGCCCGGGGCAGCGGCACTGCGGGACAGCCGGGCCGCCCCAGCCCCAGCCCCCGCCCAGCCCCGGGGTCACGGCGAGCGGTCCGGGCGGCGCGCAGGCGCACGGCGTGCCCGCGCCTCCAACATGGCTGAGGTGGTGCCGTTCCTCCTGCGGCGGGCGCGGAGCGGAGGATGCTGAGCCTGCCCCGAGCCGCCGCCGCAGCCGCTGGGGTGGTGAGGCCGAGGCGCGCCCCGCGCAGCCATGGCCAGGCTGGCAGACTACTTCATCGTGGTGGGCTATGACCACGAGAAGACAGGTAGGTGTGGCTGCGCGCAGCGCTGCCCCGCCGTGCCTGGCCGCTCCCCGCGCTCCTGCCCGGCCCCGGCCCCCGCCCGCCTCCGGCCGGGCCGCGGGAGGAGGAGACTGCGGCGCACACGGGGCGCGCGTCCGGCCGGGGGAGGAGGGGGTGAGGGCAGCGGGGCGAGCCAAGGGTTAATCCCCCTTCCCCGAGGGGGGAAGCGGAGGGGCTCCCGCACCGCCCGGTCGGGGCAGCCCGGCCCGCCCCGCCCGCCGGGAGCGGCGGCGGCTCCTTCCCCGAAGCGCGGGCAGGTTCAAACGGGGCCCGCGGCCGTGCCGGGCCCGGCGGCCGGAGCCGCGGGGCAGGGCCGGAGCCGCCGGTCCCCACCTGTGTCCCGCCGGCTGGGGCGCGACAGCCGCGCCTCCCGGGAGAACAAAGGCTGCGTTCGGCCAGCGGCGGGGCTTGCCCGTCTCGCCGCTCATCCATCGCCTGTTGAGCGGCGCCGCGTGTCCCCCGGGCAGCGCCGTAGCGCCGAACGGGCATGGAATGGGTGCTCTTCCTAAAGCCTCGGGATACTGAGTGCTGTCTGCTGGGGGAAAGGGAAGTGGTGTTATCTGCTGTCGTTTTGTGGGCAAAGAGAGAGTGGTTTGTGTTACGTAACTCTCCGTTATGGTACCAGCTTTGTTGCTGCAGAGATCTCAAATCAGTGTTTGGAAAACGAAGTGATTGTCAACTGGAATGTGTTTGTGCTGCGTATTTCAGAGCGCTCCTTTGAATGTATGTTGTTAATAAACAATATTTTAAACAGTCGAATGTTCCCTAATTTATTTGACTATGCATAAACCAAACAACACTCAAGTTTGTTACTCAGAGTAATTCTTTGAAGTAGCAATTGCGTGTAGTCTGTATCTGTTCATTCAAAAAGTGCAGCTAATAAACTCGGATTATGGAATTTTTAAAAAAGAAATATAATTTTTAGAGAGACCGTTATATTTGCATGTTTAAAGATGCAGTGTCTTACAAAGTTCTGCTAGGGTCTCTTGGATTTTACTGTTCTGCAATTGTTATTCCATTAATTACGTCCTGGTTACCCCTCCCATCCCATTTGATAGTAGGTTTGTCCTAATTGTACTGTCAAAATCAAGCCATGTGAAATGGGAAGTATTTTATTTTAAAAATAAAGACCTTTCCTTTTACCTCTCTCCTGTTTGGAACATTTTCCCTGACAAAGTAGAGAGAACCCAAATCAAAACAAAGAAGCAACCGAAAAACCCAGATGTGCTTTTAAAGAAGACAAATCAAATAGGCTGCTTACTTCATTGAAGTGAAGTTACAGATTGCATTGGAAAGCTTTATGTCTGTAAAATGTCCTCATCTGTAGCATTTAAGTATGTGTTTAACTTCCCATACATAAATTGTTTCATGAAGTTTGGTAGAATTGCTTGCCTGGTGAAATTGAGCAGATTCAGAAATAACTCCTGAATCTTAATTTAAAAAGGTCATGCCCAGAAAGTAATTGTTTAGACTTTATTATTTAAACTGCTTGTTGCTACTTTAATGCTTCATAAGAAAAATGCTTGAAGGAACAACATTCTGTTGAAGACTAGGCATGCATTGTTTTCCAAATTCCTTTACCCCCACATGCAATCCCATAATACATGGAGTACTGACCTTTATTTTTCTTATAAAACTGTAGTTTTTCGATGCATTTATTATGCTTCCTTCTATGTGAAAAGCAGGGACAAGCATTTGTAGGATTATAGACTAGCTACCCTTGAAGCTTTTATATTTTTAAGTATGTTCCTTTTTTTCCTTTCCTATTTGTTTTTCATCTGCAGCTACCTTCTGGCCTGGTTTTAATGTGCTTGATTTTAATGTTAAGTGTAATTATGTTTTGTAGAGTTTTTTGGTTTTTTTTTTTTTTTCTTTTTTTCCCAGGCATAATCTGTGGAAGAGCTTTGTGTAAACAAGCAAAAAAAAATGCTGTACCCTTCCCCCTAACCTGTGTCAGAAGCATTTGGATGATAAACACTTGTGGTTTATAGGGAAGGGTGTTTATAGGAGTGACTGCTCTCCCAGGAAAGCCCCACTCTGTCTGCTGGCTCTCCCCTCACTGCTTATATGGATTTATTTAGATGTGCCAATATCTTACCCCTGAAAATGTGATAAAGGTGCTGATTTTCTGGCTTTACTCAAAAAACATTAGCTGTAAATATCTAAAATGCCGTGTTTATGCAGTTTAGGAGCAGATTTGTAGATTTTTGTTGTTTTGGAACAACTTTGATGCTACAAGTTTTTATCCAGCATAGTCTTCAGGGGAAGTGAAGGGTTTTATTGTCCTCAAATAAACCAGAGTGTGTCCTTTGGGAATCAACATGTGAAAGTCCATTCCTGTCCTGGTCTAGGCCTGTGTAAACTGATGTTACAGCAGTCCTGGTGCTGCCATTCCTATTGTGTTAAACCTTCCTTTGGATCCAGCTCACTTTAGGATGCTGACCCATCCAAAAGACCTTTCTTGCTGGGTGTGTAACCTGTGTTGCTGTATTGTCTTGAATTACTTGCCTGCTCATTTTTCAAACAATGCTGGCTCATCAGGTTGTCAGATGAATGGCAGTACTGGCATAAAGGAGGATCAGGAGCATGCTGAAAGACAGATCAATGCACCCTGAGTTTCTATCAGCTGAAATGTTCCTAGAGCCTTGGGCAGAAAGATGTTAGTGAGGTGCCTTTGTGCCCTACATGCTCCAAGGAAACTGATGGGAGCCCTTGGATAATTTGCCTAACAGGCAGTTTATTCATGCTTGGCAAGTTGCACAGAGGCTCTGCCCGAGTGGAGAATGAGCTTTGCTGTTGACAGGTGTCAGAAGAGTTGCAGGCACTTAGGAGTTGAGAAGTCTTTGTGTTGCTGAAGATGACCTGATTCACCCAGCTTTTTCTGTCTTTCAGGTACACTGGTCTGTATTCCCACTTAGGTTGCTCAGTCTGTGTCTCACCATAAAACTAAGCTTCAGTGGATCATAGTTTTAATGGCTGTTGTGTATTTTAAGAACTCATTCTGAGCCACTGCTCAGAACTGCAGCAGCAGTAGCTGCTGTCAGAAGTGCGTGTTAAGTGTCCTGACAGAGTTATAGAAACCAGATTTATAAATCCCCCAGCTTTACTAAACCCTTTTCTTTTTTTTTTTTTTTGTTCAAACAGTGATACTTTTTCAGAGTAAAGCAATCAACCTTGGTGTATTTTGCCTTCAGCTGAACCTTGGCTGAGGTAGATAACCACATTTTCCCCCAGCATATCAGTACAATATAAAGCTGTTACATAACTGGCTACAAAAGGCACTTACAGAAGTCTCTGAAAGGAGCAAAGGTGCTACCAATTGTAGGCATTCTAGGATAACAGCTAGGAGAAATCCCAGGAGCTCTTACTGTTCATGCATTTTATTGTTTCATGGATTTTGCAGTGTGTTTGATGTGCTTCACCAAAAAATTCTCATTTATTATGTCTGAATAATGGAATGTGGATGGGATTTAGGAAGAACACAGATGTTTGCAAAGATCACAGAAGGGCATGAGAAAATGCCTTTTTTGTTTTGTTTGTTTTTGGTTTTGCTGGTATAAGCCCTAATCATAAACCTATCCCTAGAATCTACATACAGTATTCCTTGGAAAAGGTAAAAGAGAGAACATTCTGTGTCTTCCTTAGCTCAGCAGCTGAAAGGTGACAGGATAAAGAAGAGAGGGTCTAAAGACTGAATTTGATTAATTTTCCCATACACCCGTGGCAGCTTTCCTGTAGGATGCTGTTTTTTACCCAGAAGTTAAAGGAGAAAACCTGTGTGGTGGAGCAGGATGTTTTCTGGGAGGTTTGGTTGCTCTAAGAGGACAGAGGAGTGATTTGTTCTTGAATCTGTGTGCAGTTGCAATGTGTAGGACAGAAGGCTTCCAACAGTATAGCAGTTTTATTTGGCTGTTGTCACAACTGATAAATGCTGGTATAACATGTGTAGGCTCTGTTGTGGTTGTTTCTGTTCTGATTTTTATCAACTCCTCTTCAGGGAAGCCTTTATTGTGTAACATAGCTTTGTATCTCAGAGGATTTTGAAACAAGACAAGTGATTGTTGATGGAGTGGGAGAAATTTCTAAATGGAGTTGTCTGATTCTTTTTTTTTTCCCTGTGAGCAGATTTTGCCTGTGAAGAATATAGTATCATTAGGATTTTCTGGTGTATTTGCTGTATATTCACAGTTGGGCATTTCACTGAACTAGTGTGTGTATAAGGAGTGGATGATTGCTTGATACCGTGGCATGCAATCTCTGTATAAACAAAATGTAGAAAAATAAGGGAATAAAGCTGTTACTTCAGTGGCTTTCTTATCTGTGCTGCAGCTTAATTTGATTCAAATGCAATCCAGGGAAATCTCAAAGGGATTAAAAAAGCAACAAAAACCAAATCCTTCGTATTGTGGCAGGGGAATTCTTGCAGCTGCAGTGGAATGAAGCATCAAGTGCAGTGCTGGAAGTGGAGCAGAATGCAGGAGTGTGCCTGGGAGATGGTTCTAGGTTCCTGTGGCTGCTAGGGCATGGCACCCCAAATACTTGTATACAAATTAGTTGCTCCAGTCAATGAAATGATCTCTTCCTCCAAACCCTGTGCTTTACTTTTCAAATACAACAGGTTCCACAATACTGTGCTGAAACAGAATGAGGAAAAAAAATTTCCATTGCACGTGGTTTTGTTTGTTTCGATTGTGGTCATGTTCATTTGTTTGTTTGTTTGTTTGTTTGGTGTTTTTTTGTTTTGTTTTTGTTGGTTTTTTTTTTTTTTTTTTTTTTTTTTTTTTGTGAGATAAAGCTCTGTTGAAAGTCTGCTTGGAAGACCCCCAGTATTTTTTGATAGCATGTATTCCTAAAAGATATCCAAGCAGTTTCTTCTAGTACATAATGTGGACTTAAAAAATTGATTTTGGTTTATGGATTTATCATTTTGGAGAAATCTTATAATCAACAGAGATCATAGATGT